GTGGGAAATGGCCCGAGAAGGTCGAGCCCTACGCGGTATAGAATGGTTCAGTAGGGATCTCAATAGGGTAAGAAGGCCAGCTGGAAACGAACCGCTCAATCGACTCTGGACACGCATGATATATGCGTTCAAGTGTTTCTTGTAATTGTTAGTCACCATGATCGCCATCGTTTTGACTGGCCGATGAAGCGTGCATAACATCTTGCAAAGGTCACACCAAAACCCGCCGCGGTGGTCTAGTGGCTAAGGTACTCGGCTACGGACCCGCAGGTCGCGGGATTGAATCCCAGCTGCGGCGGCTGCATTTCCGATGGAGGTGGACAAGTTGTAGGACCGTGTGCTCAGGTTTGGGTGCACGTTAAAGAACCCCAGGTGGTTGAAATTTGCGGAGCCCTCCACTATGGCGTCTCTCATAATCATATGGTGGTTTTGGGACGTTAAACCCCACATGTCAATAATCAATCAAAGGTCACACCAAGATGAATCCGGTCAACCATACACGTGATGTTTCACTTTAGCTCGTAAAATATGCGGGAGCTCATTTCCGAGTCTCGTTTATGCAGTACCCTGTGCCATTGTTCTGGGTGGCTCCAGTGTTCTGATGTAGAGCTCCAGTATAACTATGTGGCATGAGTTAGATGGAAGATTGATAATCCTAATGAATCCCTGTTATAAACTTTGAAATTACTATGCTCTGTAACTTTTCACAAACGTCCTGCATGCTGAGACTGATGACCTCAGATGGATGGCGCTCACCCCCAGATGAGGATGGGCCAAGAACCAGGTGGCAGGATACTTAAATGAAACTAAAAATGAAATTAAAGCCAATCTGAAAAATTTGTTTAGAGATAAAACTGCCAATAAAGAAAAATGGTTGCTGAGCAAGTGGTCAAAAGATCTCTTGTTCCTGACAAACATAGCTACGAGTTTATACATGCGTATGCATGATTCGTCAGCGAGAACAAAGATACCACTACCACCATCGCTCCTTGCTCTTTTTCCTCTGCGTCGAATTAAATGCTTCGTCGTATGATGGGGACACTACCTAGTTCCCATTCAATGTGGGTGTGTTGGATGACACCGCTGAAATACGTTGGTAAGAGTTTAACGCGACAGTGTTAAAGAGCTCGTTTAGCGGAAATTCCGGCGTATGTGTCTGCGTCGTTGGATGCGAGAGAAAAATCATGAGGTTGTCTATGATTTAACAATTCAGAAATAATCAAATAAAATAATAAAAAATTAAGAGTTCGAATGAGGATGGAACCTAGGTCATTTGCGTGGCAAACAGGTTCTCTATACCACACAGCCTCACGTGCGTTTCGAAATAGAACGAAAACAACTCCCTCTGTTTGAAAATGCAGTGGAAAAACCTAGCACGCTTTACAAACACACGCGTCCGGCATGCAGGCTTCATTATACAACATGTAATGTCGCAGTAATATTGCGTGGTACAAGCGCACACTGCCATTGCGTGACAAAACATGTGATTATCGTTAAGACGTCATGATTTAAAGCCGGTCGCCCGGGCACACACGTTACTGCGCCTGTTACCTTAAAGGGACTCACTCTAACCTAACAATTTTTTTTCTTACGATGGATGTACCCTCCACCCCATCCAAGACTAACCAAAGAAGAGAGCTTGATTTTCAGACGCCTACAAAGCAATACTTGCTTACATGGCATATTAATGCACCACCTCTACCCAACAACATATGCTCTACCCAACGACAGAGCGTACCAGTGGGTGTCTGGTACGCTCTGCAGCGTACCAGACACCCACTGACACACTTGCTCCTGGAATGCCAGTGCCATGCAAACCACGATGTGCAACTGGAGCGGGACCAAACTCCAAGAACAAGCGACGACCACCTAATTGAAACGTGGGAGGCCCAGCTCGTCCTCGAGGACCTGGAGGACTTAGCGACAACTCGTCGCCAGGGCCAAGAGGGCAGTCGAAGCCAGAGGGTTCCTGGACTAGGGAACCTTCCCACCTTAGGGTGACCCCGGGCGTCGCTCGGAACACTGTTTTCTAAATGAACGTTTATTTCTCTCTCTCTCCGATTGTGGCGCAAACGAGAAGATCGTTCATCATATCGACGGCAACGAGCGTGCTTTTGTCCCAGAAAAACAGAACTATAATTTTAACTTTATGTTCAAAGTATACAAAAATGACCGCTAGTGTGACCCAACAGCGATGTGGTTCATCTACTGGAAGGACAATAAATCCCGACAGATTGACTCTTCCGCTTAAAAACAAGCATGTGTAGCTTGAAATCTTTTCTCAAAGTAGCCAACCAGATGTCTTTCTGGTTAACCTCCCTGCCGTCTCTCTTTCTATTGCTTCCTTCCTTCCTCCGGGTCCAATGATTGTATACTACACGCTCTGGTAAAACCATGTCCACAAATGTGATGAACCTGCAGGACATCACACAATGCCGTCGACATTGGAGAGTCGCAGAAACCAGGTGATGTTTTCACTGTTTTACAAGCGATAAATGGGGTACAGCAAGAGTCGTCATTCGACACTGCACATCTGCATGCGCATTGCGACGCAGCGAGTTGTGCCATTTCAAACTGTTATAGGCTGCACCCGTCTCAACTTCGATAAGACTTACCTTGTGAACTTTGGTATCCGATGTGTTTACGGTAGTCCCGCGAAACTGAAATCTATAAAACCAGAACGCTCCTTAACTGGAAAAGAGTCCTAATAAAAGTGGTTTCGCAATTTATTGGCGCACTTCTGTAAAACAGACCATACTTCACTGGCCCCTTCAGGTTCCCTTTAACGACTACCACAATTTGAAGTCTGAACTATAAGTAGCACAAAACAATTGCACATCCACAAAGGATGATGGATATGGCAAGCTTAGGATTACTCTTAAATTGCGTGTCTCCTTGTAAACTAGTATTTATTTCAGCAAAGCTCAAGTTCCATATCTAATAACCTAACAAGCCTAGGCTATGAATAGCGGCAAGGATGATGACTATTTTCATTAATTGGCCCTGTTGTGCCGAGAAAAAGCACTGGACTAGCAGAACGTTAGTTAGCTATGATTAAGAAGCATCCCACAAGACGCAGATGCCAATTTATTTGTCCAAATGAATTGCAGAAGGCCGATAATTTATTATTGGAAGGAAAACAAAAAGCAAACAGCGAAATTTCTTCGTCACAGAATAGTGTCAGGCAAAAGTGCAAAGGAAGACAACACTGTTTCGGCCAAGCCGAACTAGAATGAACAATACGGTGTATTGATACTCTGAATTGGATAAAACATCCAGTTACAATATGCCTTAGTCAAAAGTAAAAGTAAAATAATGACAGGCCTACCAGCCTTTGGCAAGTGCATAATAATACTTTGAAGTATGCCGAGTACCAAGTAAAATTGTAACACATACAACAATATTTCTAAGCATGTTTTTATTTTCGTTCGATGAAATCAGTAACATTTAAAATAAAACGTTGACATTACGAAACAAACTGTAGTGATTAACACATACTTCATGAATCTACAATGTACCCTCAGCATTTATTTCCAGTAATAAAACGCGTGCTGCACCTTCGAAACGTACATAAAACCAATCTTTCAACAAAACATTTTCAAGAACATACGATGAATGAGCGAGTGTACTTGTTAAATCAGGCACGCTGAACAGCACACACAAATCATGACACTATTATCATTAGGAACACTGTAGAAGTTCTCGGTCATCACAGGAAAGCAAACCGTCTTAACTGAAAAGTAGAGTGCACTGCTCCACCGCCACACTTTTTTTTGCAGCCTGACTTGAATAATGTTCGTAACAGTGCACATTTTTTTCTGAAAGAACACTACCAGATAATTGATATCAGTCTGCCGGCCGACCAGACTGATAGAACATGTAGCGAGTTACGCAGCTTTCCATGCTAAAGAGCATCAATATGTCGCTGCATTGCACGATGTGAATGGATGCCTTCATCATAGAAAGAAAAATGAAGATGAAAAAATACAGATGGGTCGAGCAATGCCACTGTTAAAAACAGGTGGAAAGAGTATACTGTGGCGTAATGCTGCTTTAAACGTTACGCCTACGTAATTAATTCGATGGTATAGATCCAGTGGTCTAGAAACACTAGATGCACTCAGCGGCTGAGCAGCGTACCATTACAATAAAAACTGGCAGATTCTGCAAACCATTGCATTATTCCTAAAACATCTCTGTATAGTATATACTCATGGATTCAAACGCATCAATTTTTTTACTATAAGGACTGGTTAGCACAATCACTCGAAACGAGCACGTCATGCGACAAACTCGCCTGTAAAGAATGTTTGCTCAGATGTACACGTTAGACTCAAAATTACGTTGATATTAGTCAAACGAGGCAAAATAATGGGAGCTCTCTCTAAATTGTCCCATTTCAGTGCACAAGCACAGGGAATTACGAGGCTATAGAACACCGATACAAACGTGTTACACAGCGTTTCACGGACAGCTCATAGCCTAGGGAGGATGCAGGGACGACTGGCGTGTTACGCGGGGTCAAATCAAGCAGCACCCAGTCGCTCACTGTTCATAGCGGGCACAGTGGAGCAACGACGAGCAGCAACGAGGACCAGAGTTCTACACATAGTAAGACCGAAAAGGGCAGGCTGGAGAGACGATCTTCCTTGCACGACACATTTCCCCGAAGGCAAGCAATGGGACGGGAGTCCGGATATGTGGGAACCAAGGGAGGTTGTGGCTGCAGGACAGGGTCATGTCCCAACCAGAGGCGCAGGCTGGATGTGGAAGGCGATGTGGGTTCGGGTTTCTCATGGTCCAGATAGGATGAAAGGTTGGAAGGCTGTAACAACAACATATTTAGATGACGTGTAGATGTACAAGGTGTACAGGCAGCAACGCAAGTTTACGAGGGACGCTATATTTGTGAGAAAGCCAAATTTCTGCTTAAGCTAGAAATTATGATAAAAGGGGAATATTTTCCTTAAGTAATAAAATACCGGAAATGAAATTCAAAGATTGTGGGCAGATAACACCGACGGAAGGAGTGATGTTCCGACTACAATTTATGTTACAACTGCTACACTGCACTTCGACAACAATGTCCTTTATGCACTCTAAGTTGGCTTTGGTGCTGTAAGAAAATGCGAACATCAGAAAAATTCCTTCATTACGATTACGAGGGTCTCGTACCGACAGACAATGCCTTAGATGAGTATGCATGCATCTATTGTTGGTCGAAAACCGTCTCGTGCAAGGATTAGTCTAGCAAAAGAACAGTATATATATATATATATATATATATATATATATATATATATATATATATATATATATATATATATATATATATATATATACATATATATATATATAATTTTTTCATCCACTTTTCTTTCTTCTTATTTACATTCTATTGGTTTTAATAACTTTCCCTGTACATTCCTTGGCATTACTGTCTGTTATATCTCATTAATACTGTGTTAAAACACGGAAAAACGAGCCCTTAGGTATACACTTCTTTCCCTTTTATATATATATATATATATATATATATATATATATATATACATATATATATATATATATATATATATATATATCGGTGTCAGTAACGCGCCTTATATCCAGATGGTAGCGTTGTCTCCGGCACATCCATCGCACGGCCCGCTCTCGACGGGAGACAGAGAGAAGGCAGGTGCGCGAGAGAGAGGGGTGCACGCGCAGCTGCAGCGAGCGAGGAGAGCGGAGGAGCGAGCGAAGGGAGGGGTATAAGGCGCGTTACTGACACCGATATCAGCGTCACGTCCGTGGCTTATTCGGTAGAGCATCGCGCTGCGGCCCGCCAAGTCCTCTTTCTTTTAAAGATAGAGAGAAGACTGCGGACCACACACACACACACACACACACACACACACACACACACACACACACACACACACACACACACACCTGGACTAAGACCCCCGGTAGGATGAGTGAAGAAAACGACAACGACGGAAGTGCGGGGCAAAGCGCGTGTGATTTCGAGCTAACTGTGCGCGTGAGGTCAGCCAATCAGCTGATCACCTGTGGTGGCTCATGGAGGTGGCGTACCACGATTGGGCCACGTGTGACCATTACGTGGCGGTAAGCTTTGTGGCTGGGGACGAGCCGAAGCAGCGGCAGACGGAAAACAGCGGGCCGAAGCGTCGGACGCAGGCGATCCAGGTTCTGGCCGGGGAACGCGGCTGTCCACGCTACTGCGGTCCAACTACCAGCTGGGATGGCGTTTCCGGCACGAGTACTGCATCTCGGGGCGCGGCCTGGCCTGCTGTTCTTTTCCTTGCCGAGGGCATCGCGGATCTCGGCGAGGCATCTCCACGGTCAGCCGTTCGGCACAGCTATGAACGTGGCCTGGCTAATGGTCCCGGTTGCACCGAGCATCGCGTCTCGGCCCACGATCTTCGCTGGACGGGCTGGCCATTCCCCGCATTGAGCATCGCGTCTCCGATGCGGGTTGACTGCTCCGTAGTCGCACCCATGCCATCAAGCGCCGACGTCACCAGGGCGGCGCACATCGGCAAGTGAGCGCATTCCATAGCGTCTTTCCACCGCCTCCTGCCCTGCACCTCATTGGCGTCGATCGTACCGCCAATCTTGCCCTCAGGATTTAGAACGCTTTTACTTGAACTCTAATTGGTCATTCGTTAATCAAGCTTAGTTTTCTCTGTCCCATTGTATGTATTTTTTCTGCCTCAGTGTTTTCTATGTTTAGTTTCCGTGTTCTGTCATAAAGGTCATGTGTGTTGTTACCGCGTCGTCTCAAAGTCCATTTCTCCTCGCACGACACGCAAAACAAGCGTTGACGAACCTTGGCATTGATAAAGATTATTTTTCATTACACCCGGGAATGAAATCCACGGAGATGAAAAGAAGTGGATGGGAATGCGCCTATGGTTGTATATCGATTGGCAGAGCACAAGACGCATAGATAGAAGCTCGTGAGTTTCGACCATGCTAATTTAAGGTGTTTTTCGTCTATCCTTCTCACAGTACAGTTTAAAAAAAAGAATCAAGGTCCGCTACATTCGTCTTTGTCCCACTGTTGTAAGTTTCATTCGGTAAAGTGCAAATTGAGTCAAGTTTTAGGAGAAGACTGAATGACAAAGCCACAAATCTGCTTGATTTGTAAGAACAGTGACGTTTCATTCTTTGGTAGCTTTTGTGACCTACACAGAATTTCTTAGAAACTCTGTTCTACTGAGGAGTCCATGTCGCGTAATCACGTCACCAGCCACACCAGTGGGATCTACCTAGACGAGATGTATTTAAAATGAAGAATTTACGTACTTCCATGGTCACCGCTGGCCGCCGAACGGAGGTCCACCAGGAGGATGCAGTCAGCAAGGTCCAACCTTAATTACCCGTGGACGTCTACCAATAAGCAAGGCCAAAACGTGATGCACGTGAAAAACCTGGAGAATTGGTTCTTGTTCTTTTCCTGCAGCAAATGGAAAGTTTCGGTTTACTTGTTTTTAAATTTTAAAATTAGGATGAACCAGCCTAGCTGTTATGCAGGACTGTTTATGTCATTCAAAAATTGTATTATATGAATATGATTGAAAATGTAGCAGAGTTCCCCTTTTAAGGGACACAAAGAGCAAATCAAATTTTCGCGTAATAGTGAAGTACATTTTCAGTCACGAAAACACAACTCCCACCGCGACATGACGCTTGATAAGCGAGAAAATTAATGTAAATAAAGTGCGGGCGAAGACACCACCTGATGTTTATCGATATGGGAAGTTTAAGGTCCCAAAACCATCACATGATTATGAGAGACGTCACAGTGGAGGAGTCCAGAAATGCACCCAAATGGAGACGCCACCAGGAGATAACCGCTCTAAACACCATGACGTAGTAAATTATGTAGGATTCTACGGGGTTTTAACTCACTTCTGCTAGATAATGGAGTACATTTTCATCAGTGGGTGCCATAGACCTAGAATACGAAGTTTGGTAAAGTTTAATCGAGCCAATGTCACGAATATACGAAAAATACATTTTGATGGTTACGGCACGCACCGAGATTTCAGTGTGAAGTTTATAAACTTATTAGAGTGAAGCTCATGGGATAAAGCTTAACAATGCAGCTTAACAATCTGGATTAAGTAATTGTTTCCCTTTGTCGTTCTTTCAGGGAAGCAAGAATTTCAATTTAATATTAGCTCAATATTTCCGATCTTTTCCTCTCTATTTATTAGTGCACAGAAATTGCAAAAGTTAGTTATGTCTCGAAATTAGGACGCTGTGTCTCAAAAGCTTAGTCCTGAAGATTCATATTGTACACTAAGGAAGCTCAACACGAACGCTCCGCTGCATGACCTGGACAGCCTCAGCTGGCGCCAGCCGCGACGTGGAGGGCGTTGTTGCCGAGATGATATCTCTATGCTTGAATTCTATGTCGGTATGCATGGTTAAACATCTGAAGTACAAAACCCAAGGCTGCGTGTCACGGGCGTCAATCGAACTGTTTCAGAGCACGCCGCGGAACATTCGAGTTAATGCTTGTTGACAACTCGACTTCCAGTTCAACGAGTTGGCGCGCACACTGACGAGATGTGAAGCTGCTATTGAAGGCCGCTGATTTCGCTTGAAGAGTTGAACTGACAGCACTGAAACTTCCTCGACAGCGATCGAACTCCGGGTGCGGGACGTGCACGAACCCGCGCAGGAACATGGCAGCCGCCTTGCCCCCGGGAACTGAAACGTGAGGTAGGAGGCAAAGCTCGTTAAAAGGGGAAGTGGGAAAACATGGTCGATGCTTACCACGTCTCCAGTCCCAACCGAGAGACCCACGGGTGATCCGGGCAGGATCTTCTCAGAGGTGAGGATCACTGAAGATCAGGCTTGAAGACCGAAACCAGAGTGGGCAAGCATGACCACGAGAATGGCACACAAGCCGCGGAAGGACGTGGACTGCAACACAGTTACCGTCTTTTAGAAGAGTAGACCCGAGAACAAATAAATGCAAAACTACTTAGTGCTTCCACCCCGACATGGACCATGGACACTGGGGCTGCTAATACAAGAAGTGTATGTTAACGCGACACTATTGAGCATGTAAATGAGAAAACTCCGAATGCTGCTTTGCTTTCCGAAAGCCACGTTTCGCACCAGAAGATAGGTGGCAGAAAACTTGTGGCAGGTAGGGCAAGGAGATTCGGGATGGGCTCTCCCACTGTCGAATTCGAAAGGGAACATTGGCAGACTACCTAGTGTTAGGGTATACCTGCCTGGTGTCCACTTAATTGCCCCCTCACCACAGGACTCATGTGGTACCAGCGGCCGCTGCAGAACTAAGTATAATGGGCGTTTAAGACTAGTGCCAACTGAGCAATACCCACTATATGAAAAGCACCCGGAAGGCAAAACCAACCGAACGCTGGCTTTTACGGTGCAGCGCTAGTCTCTCGAAGAAGTCCTGTGTGCGGTAAATTTATCACGTTTGTATGTTGTGTTTGTCCCTTTCGCTGCGTCCTCCCCAGTCAGTCCCTATTCGGTTTCGTCGCGGAGCACCACCGTTGCAACACCCGTGCCTATGTTCTGTTACATAATGGTGCCCAGCACAATGGTGCGAGAAAAATGGCGAGGGTGTAATCTTCGAAACATGCCACCGTCTTCAACACTTATCTCGCCACACTTCACTCCTTTTATGTGACCGATTATTGAAGCTCGTACCAATGAGACGTTTTCAGTTCGCTGCTCGTTTCCAGAAAGGCGGCCAGACCCTTGTCCGTCACCTCTTGTTAGCAGCTTGTGGCCCAGGCGACACCGAGTTTGTAGCGCTGCAACGACACGCGAACCTTTGATTACTTTTATTTCAGAATTGTATAATTTTACGTGCCGCGATACGATTACAAGGCAGACCGCCTGTGGTGGAGGACTATTTCCCTTCAACCACTGAAACAAGCGTGAACGTGCACTGATATTTAGGCAGAGTACTCACGGACTGAAACGAGAATTTTCAGCGCTATAATAGCAAACATCATTTTGTTACCAGCATCAACATGTCACATAAGATAATATTAAGGAACACTTTCCTGCCAGCCTCATCCCAAGCAGCCACATTTGCTGCGACGTGATGCGGACTGAGGAAGCAAACGCTCATAGCATCCGTCATACTAACAAATACAGCGCTTCAGCCCACGACTGTACACTGCGACGGCATGTATGCATCAAAGTGCAGCATTCGCAGCTGGGAATCAAGCTCGTGTCCTCAAGTTCGGAAGCACGATGCGTTAGCTGCGAAGCCTCTATGGTGGCATATTATAGAGGTACATAACGTGCATGCAGTATTCTAAATGTAGGACTTACACTTTCGAAAGGCACGGTACGGCAGGCAGCACGCTCCAGGCGGGGACCGGACGCCGAATCCACTTTCGCGGGCAGCGGAAGTTGACGAGCTGAAAAGACACGGGAATCACTCGTTACTCTCGACAGCAAGGCAGAATTTCTGCGAGACTTACGCGAGCTGGTTTAGGAAGCCTGGAGGCGTGGATGTTGCGCAAGACGCGGAGTTCTTCACTCTCTCCATTCGCCTGAGCGGATGAGATGAAAAACACCGAATCTTGCGACCTGAAAAGAAAAATGGGCGACTCGTGAGAAGATCGAACCGCACACAGAAGTCACTATAAAAGTGACGTCAATGTGTTAAAAGGACAGAACACGAAAGACCACAGCACATACGCATGTCCGACCGCCTCTCACGTCCCATCTTTCAAACACTATATAGGGTCATTCGTAGCATAGATCTAAGTAGCCCCCAAAAATGTCTTACTTAAGAATGGTAGGCGCTCACCCTAAACACTGCTCCAGAGATGTTGGATCACGTCAAAGACTGGCTATGCGTGCCTAGGTGAGAAAAGAAATGATGGCAAATGTTAACATCGCAGTGACGCAAAAGCTGGAAGGTCAGGGACTTGCGCAACTGACAATCGATAGGCACTAGTTATTGTAGTAGTAGTACTATACTACTAATAAAATGTATTTGCCATCAAAGGAAGGGTAGACGGAAGTCGCGAGACAAAGAGGAACGCTTTTAAAGTTGAAATAACAGCTAGTAGTAAGATAGTGGGAAAAAGAAAGGGGATAGATCACTTGATCATTGATTAGATTACTTTGGTTTAACGCCCCGAAATGACGATATCAGTAGAGGTCTCCCAACGCCTGGCAGTTCGACATTGATTGATTTATTTAGATAAGTATATTTTACGATGTAGTGATTCATTTTACAAATACAAATGAACTCATTAAAAAACAGACGAGGACAAGTTTAAAGTCGAGAAGAGAGCGAAAAAAAAACTAACCTCGGTCGACGACGATGCTGGGCCAATGGAAGGAGACGCCGGTATTCGGCGAAAACCACGCAGTGGGCATGCGTGACGGGCAATAGGTGAAATATGAACAAGACGCCCGTGCTCTGATATGTGACAGGCTGACGAGAAAAAAAATGGGTCTTACAGCCACGACGGAAGAAGCTACCCGATTTACCTGCCTAGTGTTCGCTCGACCTGTACACGCGCGCTTCCGCCGTGGGAGAAGACCCCGAAGAGCCTCGCCAGCCTGGTTAGCGGACTCACTGAATTCGATGCCGTTGTTGAAGCTCGCAGTAAACTACGGCGCTTGCGGTGGTCCCCGACGAATTGCCGGCGATGAAACTCGTTGAGCGTGTGCTCCTCGTCCGCGGTTAGTAGCACCGGTTGCCCCTGGCACTTGCGGAACTGCAATGACAAAAGGGACAATGGTTCTACCTAATTGATTGATTGATATGTGTGGTTTAACGTCCCAAAACCACCACATGATTATGAAAGACGCCGTTGTGGAGGGCTCCAGAAATTTCGACCACCTGGGGTTCTTTAACGTGCGCCCAAATCTGAGCACAGGGGCATACATTTCCGCCTCCATCGGAAATGCAGCCGCCGCAGCCGGAATTCGAACCCGTGACCGGTGGGTCAGCAGCCGAGTACCTTAGCCACCGCGGCGGGGCGGTTCTACCTAATCAAGTGAATTGGCTGGGCTTTATGCTGAGAAGCAATGGCAAGTTCACTGGACACTCTGTAGGAGATCAACTTTTCACCCTATGAAGCGCGACGAAACAAAATATCTAGCGGCAAAAGCAGTCGCCGAACAACAGCCGATTAGTTGGGAAGTGGGCGGGCACATTAAACACGAGGGCTGGAGACCAGAACCCAAATGTACTTTTTGTCGCCCTGTTCCTTTGTGTTCGTATTTGCGAGACCGCAGTTTGAGGATGTATTGGATTGGATTGGATAAACTTTTATTTGGTCCTCCAAAACACAGATCACTGTGTTGCGGGCAGCTCCCACGTGGGGACTGAGATGCCAAGCTCCTCAGCCGCCTCGCGGGCTTGGTGGACAGCCCAGCGCTGATCTGCCAAGGACGAGCTGCGGATTGCCGCCTCCCATCTGGCAGAGGAGATGTGCGATAAATGAGCGAATTTGGTGCACTGCCAGAGCATGCGTTCTAATGAAGCTATTTCCCCACAATGTGGACAAAGACTACTTGGGCATAGGTCAGGGTACATGATGTGTAACATTTTCAAAGTAGGGTACATCCGCGTTTGCAAAAGCCTTAATGTAAGTGCTTGGGGCCGGGTTAGATTTTTGTGAGGTGGAGGGAAAATCCTTCTAGACAGCCCTGGACTTAACCAAGGCCTTTGATCGAGTAGAACACTGAGCGATCATGGCGGCTCTCTCCCCCCTCAATGTGGGCGTTCGTATGTACGCCTACATATAAGCCTTCCTATCAGGACGCACGGCCGAGGTTCATATGGGCCCCCATGCGTCCCCTCCATATACCCTTAGTGGTGTAGGCACTCCGCAAGGTTCGGTCCTTTCCCCTTTTCTCTTCAATGCCACACTCATTCCCTTAGCCCGCGCTCTTCACAATATCCCTCACCTTCAGCACACCCTCTATGCAGACGACATCACACTGTGGACCACCCACGGTATTGATGGCGACATAGAGGAAACCTTACAAACCGCCGCAAACATTACACAACAACACGCACAAAGCATTGGTCTCCCCTGTTCCCCGGAAAAATCTGAGCTGCTTCTCATACGCCCTTCACCACGTACTCTTCCCACTGCCCCCATCACCGTTACTCTGGACGGGCACCCTATCCCAGAGGTCGACACAATCCGAATCTTGGGCCTTCACATCCAAAATATCGGGCTCGGTTGCGCAACGATACCACGTCTGACTCCAGATGAGAAGGATGCGTGTTCACATCCAAAATAACGGCCGTAACACTTTCACTATCCGGAAACTCAAGCAGGTGACGGATGCGCTCTCGCACCTCGTCCGCAGAGTTTCTGGAAAACACTATGGCATGAAGGAACACGATTTGTGCCGTCTCATTCATGCCTTCATACTGAGCCGTTTCCTTTATACAATCCCGTATCTCCGACTTCGACAAGAAGAAATAGCCACCCTGAATGCCATGCTTCGTAAAGCCTACAAGGTGGCCTTACACCTCCCCCCTAACACACAGACCACTAAACTTCTTCAGCTTGGGCTCCATAACACCACACACGAACTCATTGAGGCCCACAGACGAGCGCAATACACTCGTTTAGCTCAGACTTTCACCGGACGCTACATACTTAACACCCTCAATATTCACATACCAGCAGCGGACCCCACACTTCTACCAATCCCCCGACCCATACACACACAGATAATAGTTAAACCTCTCCCAAGAAACACCCACGTTACATACCATTCGACCCGCCGCAAGGCCCGTGCAAAGGCTCTCCACAAATACTACGGTTCTGAAGAGGACGCCGTATGGGTGGATGCAGCTTGCACGGGCGACGACGCGGCATTTGCAGTCGTTGATCGCACACTCCAACCCATTGCAACTCTCCACCTTCCTCCTGCATCCA